CGAAGTTCCAATACTTAAAATTTTCCACATTTAAAGGCATGTTATAATGATATTTTATTATCTGGATCTGTTTTACGATTAAGAGAGACGAAGAGGCCTATCCAGAGAAATATTTTTGTCAAGATTCTTAGTAAGACATGAAAGAATGCGAGGTGGTAGTTGTTTTATGTAGAGTAGTTTTCTAAAAACAAAAGCGTACGTGGATGGGATATATTCAAATGGATTTTAGAGAAGTAGAATAGGGTGGTATGGATTGGATTGATGTGGCTCAGGATGGGGACCAGTGGAAGGCTCTTGTGAACACGGTAATGAAACTTCGGGTTCAATAAAATGCTCGGAAGTTCTTGAGTAACTGCAGAATTGGCGGCTCCTCCAGAAGGGCTCAGCTCCATGAGTCAGTAAGTAAGTAACGAGGACTCGGCATTAGAGCTTGTTCAAAATTTTTCATGAGTCTCAATTACGTGGCATTACAATTCCAATCGCGGACTGAAAAAGGTGTGAACATTATAGAAGGTTATCAACTCCATCTAGTGTGACAGATAAATGTTCTTTCTCCTTTTTAATCTTTCACCCTTGACATGTTTTTACTCTGAGCGACCCTCTTCAGAAGGATATATCAGTAGAAGGGGGAACTACTATTACAGTGTGATTGGTAAACGTCAATATATACCTACAATATCATCACAATGCCATGAATATAAAATCTTAGCCTTTATCAAATACAGCGTTGTGCATGAATGTATTAAAATATTTATAAATTATTATAGTTAGTTTATTTAAATTGGCCGCGCCATAGCTCAAGTGGTTAGTCGCTCGCTTTCCACTACGGCGGTCCGGGTTCGATCCCGGGTCTGGTCAAGTGGGATTTGTGGTGGACAAAGTGGTGCTGTGGCAGGTTTTCTCCGAGTACTTCGGTTTCCCCTGCCAATCTTCATTCCACCAATTGCTCCACAATCACCCTCACATATCATCTGGGGCTGGTACAATAGCCCAGAAATGGCCGCAGTACAAGGGACTTAGTCCCACCCCACTTATTAACCTACTCATTAAGCTGAGGCCTTCTGGAGGAGCCGCCAATTCTGCAGCTATTCAAGAACTTTTCAGCATTTTATGGAACCCGAAAGTTCATTACCGTATTCACCCTCCACTGGTCCTTATCCTGAGCCAGATCTATCCAATCAATACCATCTCATCCTAGCTCTCTAAGATCCATTCTAATATTGTCCACCCACCTACCCCTTGGTCTTCCTTGTGGGTCCCACCCCACTAACAATAAAAAATAGTTCAATTTCAAGTGTTTGAAATGAGTGTGTTAAAATTTAGTACCAATATGGTTCGTGTCCTTTATATTGCCTCTTTTTAAAGGAAGTTGAGTGTCTAGCATTTCTTGGTTCCGTTGTTTGACGAATAGGACTCCTTCGTGTTGTCCATTTGTTCGGGCCGCGCTGTGTTGTGAATCAAATAAAAGAAAGAACAGTCATTGTTTATGGAATATCTAGGAAGTTCTGTCGAAAGGAATCCAATGTTGTGAGGAATGGCTGAAACACATTTGTCGGGGATCAGGATTTTGAGTCATTTATAAATATTTCATGTCACGTCATGGAAACACGGATCTCAACTCTCTATTCTACATTATAGCGTGCAGTACACAGCTGTCCCTATACAATACTAGTGTCCAGTAGGCCTGTCCCCTTCTTTGTCAATACACACTGGTGCTCCCAGATCGACATGGATTATTTAGAGCTCGTAATGGTCTCCTGCAAAATCTTGTGCCGTTCTATTCTTTATCTCTGTCCCTCTTGCTGTGCTGTGTCCATCTTCATCCCGGAGGGTGGCACATCTGCGAATCCTCAGCTTCCGTGAAGTAGGCCTCAAGCCAACGAACGAATTGAACTAAGAAAGAAACTTCTTTCTCTCTCTCTCTCTATAGTTGGATTGTGAGCGACGCCCGTCGATAAAGTTAGTGGACACCGGACGGGCACACACGTTGGATGAAAGTATTGACTGCCTACTGACCACTCTAGCTGAGGGGGTTGGACCCCCAACAAGGATTAGTTGCGAGTAAAAGTAGGGGAGAAAACTTGGTGTTAGGGTTAAAAGAGAAAGACAGACAAAGAGAACGAGATTTTGAGAAGAGAGAAAGTAAATAGACAGGAGTAGAAATGCTTGAAGGAACACTTCGTGTTTTCCTCGTCTGCTTTTCTCCGTCTCGGTCCGGTACGTGTATGTAACGGAAGGGCTGCGCATTTCGTCTGTAGCCTTTTCTCTGTGCATGGTGTTCCCCGGGAGCTACGCTGCCAAATGGAAAGCCCTGGCACGGTCCACAGGCTGTTATCGACGAGATGGTCAAGGGACGTGCCTAGGGGGGTAGTAGGGGGTGGGCGAGTTAGACTGGCCACTCTGTCTTCGCTCTATAGCTCCTACTGTTGGCAAGGGAACGCTGCGGGGAAGGGGTGGGAGAAAAAGGAAATAGAAAGATAGAATCTGCCATCTTGAAAAGTGTTATTTCGTAGCGTAGCCAAGCTCTTCTAGTAATGGTTGGTTGTCTGTTAAATATTTCAACAAGAGTAATATATGTTACAGCACATATTATAGCGAAGTTCGTATAGTAGGATAGCAACAATTGAATTGTTTATTGCGCTCTTTGACCCCTTGCACGAATTGTTTCGTGTAATCCTATTCAGCGTATTAATTAATCTTTAACATATACGTATAGATTCCAAACTCCATGCTCATACAGCAATTTAAACAGGCCTCTTTGAAATTAGGCTTACAACTGATTCCAAAATTATCGTAGTGCAGAACTTCACGAATGACAGCAACTGCACCATCAAAACTACATAATATGACAGAGGCCTATTTCCATAGAAAAATAAATATTTACTACAGAAAATATAGGGGTGAACAAAAAAAATGGGAAATATTAAGAAACTGAGAAATATAATTATTGTTGACTACACTGTAAGAACTTCAGTTGGCAACACTGAATGTTCTTCCATTTGTTTACACTCTGTAATGCTCGTGTAAGTACAGCCGTGATTGTGTTGAATGACAGTCCTTGTGAAAAGATCGAAAAATGGGAGACTTGTCCGATTTTGAAAGAGGACAGGTCTTTAGTGTGCGTTTAGCTGGAGCATCTGTGATAAAAACGGCCATATTATTGGGTGTATAGAAAGCGACAGTTTCTATGGTTATGTCGGCATACACGAATCATAGGAAGGCAACGTCAGCGGAAAGGAAGAGTGGCCGAACATCATTGACAGAAAGAGATCGTCGACAATTGAGAATGGTTGTTTCGGAAAGTCACAGAGCTACTGTGGCACAGGTGAGAGGCCGGCAGAGTTGAACATTCAACTTGAAGACTCTGTTTTGACAAAAATTGTCCGACGTGAGTTTCACAAATCCAATATCCACGGTACGGTTTCAGTTGCTAAACCTCTGATTACTGAAAGTAATATTCAGATGCGAAAACGATGGTGTCACGACCTTGAAACCTGGACATGAAGGCAAATGGAAACTCTTTCGTGGTCTGGTCAGATGAGTCATCCTTCACGCTCTTCCTTATATCAGAAATAGTTCACGTTTGGAGAATATCCAAGGAAGCCTACAATTCGAAATGCCTCGTTCCAACGGTGAAACACGGTGGGAGATTTTGTGATGGTTTGGACAACAACAGAACAGAATTCTGTTGGGCCCAATATTACCCGTCATGGCCAAATTGTTGTAAGGGAGTGCGTGGACAGATTGGGTAATCAGGTGCGTCTCATAAACCAGAAGTTTTTCCGAAGAACAACGAAAAAAAGATTCAGTTTTCTAAAACGATAATTCCCCCATTCATACAGCTGGAACTGTTCATTCATGGTTTGAAGAGCATGTAGGTGAACTTCAGCATCTTCCCTGGCCAACACAAGCACCACAGTTGAACATCATTGAAACACTCTGGCCAGTTTTGAAGACGAGATTGAGAAACAGATTCAAACCTCCATCTCTAAAGTAACTTGAAGATGTTCTTTGAGGAGAACGGTATAAATGCCGCTAGAAATTTTTAAAAATTTGTAGGAGTTCATTCTAAAATGGGTGTGCCCATTCTTTTGTCAACACCTGTACTTCTGTATTGATGTTTATTATGCTCTCGGATATTTGGATTGAGTGATATTCGACTATGTTGCAGATGTTTCGGGAAAACATGCCACACACAACAGGTTCCTCCGAAATGATTTCAACATGACCCACATCCACAAGGCGGAATTCCCGAAAACAGAAACAGAACCTGAAGAACTGTGGAAAAACTAATCACAAGGCCTTAATCATATTTGTATTTTAGGCTGGTTCGCCAGATTTAAATGATACGCCTTTCGTGGTAGTATTGATTAAGTTATATCTAAACTCTACGTAGAACTTGAGTGTACGAGTATTTATCGTTTGACTGATAGGAACCAACGTATATTACATGAATTCACTTTCAGATTTAATCAATTTAAATCCGTTTCCATACTTTCAGAGGTGAAATATGTAAAGGCTTTCAACTTTCTTCAGTTAATGTATTAGAAATTGTTAAAAATGGCCAACACTTTGAGACAACAATCTTTGATTTTATTAAAATTAAATACTGAAAGTAATTAAAATTATATCGCTATAGAGAAAGAATTTAAGAAATTCGGAACATTGTTTTGACAACCTGGAGACGATGACAGAAATCTGAGAGAAGGAAATTTACTGCAAAGCAGTGAATTCTCTGATTCTTGCTTAGAATGACCTGTACATTATTCACGTGCAGCAGGACATGGAGACGGCTAACGTCTTCTTTTATATTTCAATTAAACCTAGAGAACACAACTTTTCGGAAACTGTCCGCTGCCGGCCTCATGCAAGGACTGAGACAACTTCTGTGTTGTGTCCCTTAGAAAGAGATGTGATTGGAGCTTAATTCTGAGTTACACATCATCGTCAGAACCCTTTAGAATCTAGTATAAATGTAAGACTAAAATATATAATTTTACCTGTTCTTTAGATGAGAAACTTGAATTCTCTCATTAAGTGGGAGGCAGAATATTTCAGCGTGTTGCTGACGGAAGTGTTTGGGCCTAAGAAAGAAATAAATGAGTATTAGGAGGGTGGATAAAAATGACACAGTGAAGAATTTGTACTCTTCACGAAATTAATTGATACTATTTTGGTAACAAACTCAAGGAGAATGAAATAAGAACGGCACGCAGGACAAATGCAATATATTGTGACGTACAGAGCCGTTGCTAAGCAAAGACATTGAAACAGTCAACAAGACAACAGCCGTTGCTGTGCAATAGGGAATAAACAGCGGTGTTATGTAACCCGTTTCTGGCAACGGATCGGTAAATATGTTCCCGCTGCGAAGCATATGCACACAGCAATAGAGTTAAGGTTCGGCCACACAGAGCGCTACGCTATGTTCGCTACGTACGCTACGTACGCTGTGTACACTCTGCGACGCAGCTAACACAGGGAACTTAGCATACATAGCGTACGGAAGTCTGTGTGGCCAGTCATATTGGCAATAAAGGGAGATATTTTTCTGTTCGTATAGCGAACATAGCGTACGTAGCGCTCTGTGTGGCCGAAACTTTACTGTAGGAAATAGAAGTTCCGGATTTGTCCGTCAGTGGAGCTCTGTACTTGAGGCTGTGAAGAAAAGGCTATATATGGTATTTGAAATGCGTCATTCATTAAGAGTGTTATAGTTCCTGTGTTAAAATTCGTTGCCAGGAAACGCCTAGTGAAGAGTGTGATAGACTGAGGACACCAGTTTGTGTGTGTCAGTGATCTGTAGAGTGTAATTACGAGTCGTGTGTTTATAAGTGGTCAATAAATCGAAGATCCAATTTAAAACTCCGTCTATAATCACCCTTAAATCGTGACATTATAATTCGCCTGGCGTGAGATAGAATCTGATGGAAAGTTCTTGTGAAAATAATAATAAACTTTTCGGCTCCCTAAAAGTTTGGTAGCCGGTCACGGTAGCCGAGCGGTCTAAGGCATGTACTCTCTTCGCTCGCTTGGAAACCGGGATCGTGGGTTCGAATCCCACTCAGGGCATGGATGTTTAGTCTGTGTTTGTGCGTTTTTCTGTGTTTGTGTACAGGTAGAGGCCTTGCGACGAGCTGATCACCCGCCCAAGAAGTCCTACCGAATGTCTAAGATCTAGAAAAACCGAAGTGAACGGAGAAGTTCATGGAGGTAGGCCTAGGCCCACTGGGGCTGTAGTGCCAAGGAAAAAGAAAAAAAAAGTTGGTATTTGTTGATTAGCTGAGCAAATGTTAACCTCTCAGAGTGCAATCTGTCCAGTGTAATTCAGTTTCGTAGTCCAGCGTCTGAAAGCGCTCGCTTATACCTGACCCACAACTGAGTCATTAGAAACTAAGGCGATTTGCTTTTCTATTTTTGTTGTCACTCTTAACTTATTTATGTACCCAGCTTCTGAATTCGCTTTTCACAGTTCAGAAGCTGCTGTTCTGCTGAGACTGAGGTGTAGTTGTTCAGAAGCATAAATCAGCGTAATATAATTATATTTCGTGACAGCAGGCACGTCTTTTGCACTGTTCAATGTTACATTTTATTTCTTGACACCCGGTGGGCACTTGGCTGTAAGGCCGTTTATATAATAGACTGAAATAAACTGTAATTTCATTTGGTTATGTTTCATTTTTATTTGCCAGTATTATACCGAGCGTTGCCGATTATAGTGACTGCGCGGTCTAAGGCATGAACCGACTTCGCTCGCTCGAACACTGACATCGTGAGTTCGAATCCCACTCAAGGCATGGATATGTACCCTTATGCTGTGCTTGTGCTCTTCTGTGTGTCGGTAGTGGCCTTGCGACAGCCTGAAACCCCGTCCAAGGAGTCCCACCGACTCTCCTAGATTAAGAAACCGAAGTAAAGCAAAGCGCTTCACGGATAGAGAGGAGGGGGGGGGGAAGAGAGAGAAAGTTAGGTGAGACCTTCGGCAAGCGTTTCGGAAATAAGAAATGCGTATAAAAATTAAGCGGGAAAGCTAACGGAAAACAACCTCAACGGAGGCCCAATCAAGGATGACAGGTTAATTACAAACTCGCTGTTAGAGAAACTTGCATGGAACTTTATTTGGTTCAGCTCATGGGATGCTGCGGACGTGTCTATAAACTCTATGGTTCTGTAACAATAAACGCTCTGAAGAACGTTCCACTGCTAAAGAAGGCCAACTGCCACGTATTTCATTCATTCATCTGTAATATGTCAGACGACAGGTCCACAGTCTCTTCCAAAACAGTTCCTCCACTTAATGCGATCTAGAGCTTTCTCCTTCAAATGAGAATATCCTCTTCTGTCCCCAAGGTCATCCAGCATCTTCTTACGTCTTCTTCCTCGTCTGCCACGTATTTATAGAATATTTTTCTTAAGTCTCCAAAAGTGTTTAATCAGAGACGGACGTTGTTATTTCTCTGTGATATTCTTGCTCGCAACACAACACTGTCAGTGTGTCTCACTGTCGCGCACAGTTACATGCGCTCAACTCAATAAGTTAACTGCACATTGCACATGAGAGGCCGTAAATATTGAATTCTGTGGTTCTATAAAACGGGAGCCGGAGTACCACAAAATGTGTTAAGCCTCTGTGGTCTATGTAATTTGCTGTTCTTGTGGCTAGTCGAAAGTTAGTGCAGTCGGCATTGCAAGTGACAGTGAAGACATTAGGCGCCACCAAGTGGTACAGACAGCCGGTTTGTGGTGTTCTTCAATTGCTCTCAAGTTCCTGTCGGATTATATGTAGCAACCATTTCTGGTTGACTATCAATTATCCGTTTAATTTTCTAAATGGTGTAGTTAAGTACTTGTTAGTTATTTGCTTATTTACTTTCCCTGAGCAGCTAATCGACTAGCTTGTGAGATAGATGAGAATTGACCTTTCTGGAGTTCATATTCCAAATCTCATGCAGACGTTCAGTTTCCAAACCACTGACAACAGAAACTCGTTATCTGGATAGTGATTATATTATCAAATTAACATAATACGAAAATCTCAGTGGATTCAGAACCAGAATTAACTGACTATATAAAACACTTTGACTTAATTTAGTATAGAGGCCTACCTGCTTTGTATAGATGTGAAACTTGGTCTCTTATCTTGGACGAAGAACGGGATGCTGAGGAAAATCAGTGTACGGAGGCAGAGGAGATAATAAGAGGAGAGGACTGGGTAATGAGGAGCATCATAGTTAGTACACTACGTGAAATGTCATTAAGAGGCCAAGACGGATGGGGCATGCAACAAGCACAAGAGAGATTAAATATCTTCTTATTCTTTTCGTCTATTTCTCCTTATTCCTCTTCCTATTCTTGTCTCATATTTCTTCCCTTCGCGGGGCGGCCAATGAATCTGATCTCCCTTGGCCGATATTTTGCTACTTGCTTTGGCGTTCCTTCATCCGCCACCCCTTCCATGCGTAACTTCAGTTCCTCTCTATACGTTATTGACCCATTTTATAATTCCTTTCTAATGTCTTGACTTTTGAGACGATCTTGTCCTATCTGACGGCCGCTGCCTGCAATCAACTTTCATGCCAGCTCGTCATTGCCCATGTCTCTCTGACGCAGAGCGAGACGAGTACAGCAACTTTCCGTTGCTCTGCAAATAGCTCGAAACGTTCAATTTTCTGCTTTATATCCGGGTTCAAGTCATATGTCATAACACAGCCTAGGAGAGATGGTAACTAAACCTTGCATTCTAGCTCAGCATATGGAAGAGAATGGGCCGCGCCATAGCTCAAGCGGTTAGTCGCTGGCTTCCCATCGCGGCGGCCCGGGTTCGATCCCGGGTCTGTGGGATTTGTGGTGGACAGAGTGGTGCTCGGGCAGGTTTTTTCCGAGTACTTCGGTTTCCCCTGCCAATCTTCATTCCACCAATTGCTCCACAATCACCTATCATCTGGTGCTGGTACAATAGGCCAGAAGTGGCCGCAGTACAAGGGACTTAGTCCCACCCCACTAGCAATAAAAAAATATGGAAGAGGATACATGGAACGGAGAGTATTTAGGAGCATATGGGAAGATGGTATTAAGAGAGATCCTAAAGAAAGAAACATGGTGTTAGGATGTTGATTCCGTTTATGTGTCTCAACTTGCGGACACGACACTCCGCCTGCAAGTCCCATAACAGTACAGTTCCACGGGTCAGTTTGGCGTTGTGTTACTGCCCACAGTGCTTGAGAAGTTTAATAACGCTGGATGTGGAAGGCTAATATAATGTTTACGAAGGTGCCGCGCCATATTGTCGCAGCGATTATGGTGACTGGGCTGCAGGCTAGGAAACCGGAGGACCGGGGCACGATTCTCGGAGGGGACAAAAGTGTGTTCAGACCTGCAGTGGAGGCAAATGAGTGGATACCGAAGGCTCTCTCTCCGGGGGAAAAGGACCGGGGCCTGAAGCTGATCACTCACGTCTACCTAGTGCAGAAGTTATGAAGGCGTGGAGCTATGCCTCCAAATTCCCGTGGTGCTTTATTAATAACAGGGACAAGCTAACACATCTATGTATATATGGCTCTATATCTCTTTGTTGGGCTTTGGCCCCTTTTTTCAGTTTCTTCCTCTTTTACCCAGTCGGTAGGACTCCTCGCATGGGGGATCAGCCCGTCGCAAGGCCGCTACCTGCACACAGAACAGCACAAACACAGAATAAACGCATACACATACATCCATGCCTCAAGTTGGATTCGAACCCACGATCCCAGTGTTTCAGCGGGCGAAAGTTCATGCCTTAGACAGCGCGGCCACCGTGATCGACTAACTTTACACATTTTTTTTTAATTGGCACTACAGCCCCAGTGGGCCTAGACCTACCTCCATGAACTTCTCCGTTCACTTCGGTTTTTCTAGATCTTACACATTCGGTAGGACTCCTTGGGCGGGTGATCAGCTCGTCGCAAGGCCTCTACCTGTACACAAACACAGAAAAACGCACAAACACAAACTAAACATCCATGCTCTGAGTGGGATTCGAACCGACGATCCTGGTTTCCAAGCGAGCGAAGACAGTACATGCCTTAGAACGCTCGGCTACCGTGACCGA